CTATCGATTTCTGGAGTCAGAATTGAGAAAAACTCAAAAATAAAAATTTTCAATTTTTTGCACTTTTTCCTAAGGTTACACCCTTTGGATTTTTATTTGTAAATCTTCAAACCTCAATATCTCGGTAACCAGGAGAGGTACTGGGACAACATTTTCAGGGTTTGTAGCTCTTGATAAGGGCTTTCAGTTGGTATTTATAGTTTTTGAGAAAATTGAGTTTGAAGTTTTGGACAAAATTTTGACTAAAGTCCAACTTTGAAGGTTTGTAGCTCAGGAACCCCTTGAGCTACTGGAACCAATTTAGCACAGTTTTGAAGAGAATTCAATGCTCTTTCCAATGATATATGATTGTAACTAATTTGCTTGAATTTCATCAAAGATATGGGCAATTATTCATGAGCGTGTTAAGATTTTGAAAAATTCCAGAGTCAAAAATGAGATTTCCTTTTGGTTTTTTTTTTCTCGTTGAAATTTTCAAATCTAACTGATATGAAAGTTGTTTCTGACTAATTTGAACTCGCTCTATCGATTTCTGGAGTCAGAATTGAGAAAAACTCAAAAATAAAAATTTTCAATTTTTTGCACTTTTTCCTAAGGTTACACCCTTTGGATTTTTATTTGTAAATCTTCAAACCTCAATATCTCGGTAACCAGGAGAGGTACTGGGACAACATTTTCAGGGTTTGTAGCTCTTGATAAGGGCTTTCAGTTGGTAGTTAGCTAAAGTTGCTAGTGTTTATAGTTTTTGAGAAAATTGAGTTTGAAGTTTTAGACAAAATTTTGACTAAAGTCGAACTTTGAAGGTTTGTAGCTCAGGAACCCCTTGAGCTACTGGAACCAATTTAGCACAGTTTTGAAGAGAATTCAATGCTCTTTCCAATGATATATGATTGTAACTAATTTGCTTGAATTTCATCAAAGATATGGGCAATTATTCATGAGCGTGTTAAGATTTTGAAAAATTCCAGAGTCAAAAATGAGATTTTCTTTTGGTTTTTTTTTCTCGTTGAAATTTTCAAATCTAACTGATATGAAAGTTGTTTCTGACTAATTTGAACTCACTCTATCGATTTCTGGAGTCAGAATTGAGAAAAACTCAAAAATAAAAATTTTCAATTTTTTGCACTTTTTCCTAAGGTTACACCCTTTGGATTTTTATTTGTAAATCTTCAAACCTCAATATCTCGGTAACCAGGAGAGGTACTGGGACAACATTTTCAGGGTTTGTAGCTCTTGATAAGGGCTTTCAGTTGGTATTTAGCTAAAGTTGCTAGTGTTTATAGTTTTTGAGAAAATTGAGTTTGAAGTTTTGGACAAAATTTTGACTAAAGTCCAATTTTGAAGGTTTGTAGCTCAGGAACCCCTTGAGCTACTGGAACCAATTTAGCACAGTTTTGAAGAGAATTGAATGCTCTTTCCAATGATATATGATTGTAACTAATTTGCTTGAATTTCATCAAAGATATGGACAATTATTCATGAGCGTGTTAAGATTTTGAAAAATTCCAGAGTGAAAAATGAGATGTTCTTTTGGTTTTTTTTTCTCGTTGAAATTTTCAAATCTAACTGATATGAAAGTTGTTTCTGACTAATTTGAACTCGCTCTATCGATTTCTGGAGTCAGAATTGAGAAAAACTCAAAAATAAAAATTTTCAATTTTTTGCACTTTTTCCAAAGGTTTGGATTTTTATTTTCAAATCTTCAAACCTCAATATCTCAATAACCAAGAGAGGTACTGAGACAACATTTTCAAGGATTGTAGATCTTGATAAGGGCTTTCAGATGGTATTTAGCTGAAGTCGCTAGCATTTATAGTTTTTGAGAAAATTGAGGTTGAAGTTTTGGACAAAATTTTGACTAAAGTCTAACTTTGAAGGCTTGTAGTTCAGGAACCCCCTGAGCTACTGGAACCAGTTTAGCATAGTTTTGAAGAGAATTTAATACTCTTTCCAATGATACATGATTGTAGCTAATTTTCTCGAATGTCATCGAAGATATGGGCAATTATTCATGAGCGTGTTCCATGGGTGGTCAATAGTTTGCATCTCTAAAACTGTCAAAATTATACTGTATTCATTGTATCCGTTAGTATGACATTGGTATTTTGTTTCTCTAGGTTTTTATTCGTTTTCCTAAATTGCAACCTTATTTTTGCTCTTACGTCGTTTATCTCTATGTTTGTTTCTTGTTTGCTTTGTTAAGCAGAGTTAGGAGTCCTGAGAAATAAACGTGTTAACACAATGATTTTTCAAAAACGACTGACTTCATTTATACTGTAACAGTTACAAAAATACGACATGACAAAATAATAAATATAAGGATTGTCAGTGCAATGCTTACATGACAAAATATTGTTGCTTTGATGTATAGGAACAATGCTTATCAAATAGTCACAATAACAATTAATAATTGGGCAAAATGAGAACCTATAATTATAAATCATCGTGTAATAAGCAAGTAATACCCACCTAAGGTAACTGGTTCTTTTTACAACATTCCTAGAATTCCTCTACCAAAGAATCCGATTGGAAAAAATTGTTTATTTTGGGCCGGAGGCCCAATAGTAAAACATTTTATTATTAGCATAAAGTCTAGGTTTATGTGTACCCAATGATTGAATGCGAAAATTTAATTTTAGAATCCCAAATATCTTACGATTTGTTTGATCGATCAATAAAATATTTCTATATACTGATGAATGGATGAAAAATCTGTTCGAATAAAGCATAAAGGTCACTTGGGATTTGAGGAAATCTTCTTGGAACTCCATAGACTTTTCAGACTTTTCAGGCTTATGCTTGGATCTTGGATTTCCAGAGAGATCATTCAGATTTTGGATCTCTATATATCTCCTCCAGATCTCCATATACATTTAGAAAACTATGCTTTTCCGATTCTACATGACTGCAGTCGAAGTTCTTGAATCTCTAGGTATTTCCAACAAATCTTCATGTATCTCTAGTGGATCTTCACATATCTCTACCGAATATCCATGGATCTCTACAGATCTTCATGAGATTTCCATTTCGTAGGACAGAAGATTTCCATAGTGGCTACCCCTTCGGGTCAATCCTAATCCTTGGAGTATGAAGATTTCAATGCTTTGGGGTGCAATTCAATGTTCTACCTTGTTGATTCTTGAAAAATTATAAAAAATCAGAGACTTCAAAATTTTCCTCGGAATTTCCTATAACAGAGGCTTAGGTATATCAAACCTTATTGCAGTATCATCTATAAATTTTAAAAATTGAATCAAACAACATTTAATCTATCAAGAAATTTTACTTAAAAAGTCTCTAATTTATAATAATTTCTGAAGAAAATCATGAGCTGGAAAACCTCTTGAAACAGGATTTCATTGAGTTTTCCCCTTGAGGCCTCACACACAAATTTCCTAGAAACAGAAACGCGTTGAATTTTTTCTCCAAGGAACTCGAAATTCTTCCTAAAGGTTCATTAATAAATTCCTAAATGCTAGTCATTATTGCAGCTGAAAATCTTGAAAGTTTAAGTCCATTGAATACTTCTTCAAATTACGAATTCTCCTTTATACACTTTCCTAAATCCAAGCATCTTTCCATCATTTTGTTGTTGCAGAAGTATCATAAAATACCAATGGGAATCATAGACAAGGCTAAAAAAACTTGCTAATATTTCCATTGAAATTTGGAAACATTATGGATAAGGATTTGGAAATGATATGGGATTCCCCAGAAAAAATGGAAATCACCTCTGGTAATCATACAAAAATCATACTCAAAATCATTGGCAACTAGTCGAAATTCACGAGATGGGAATACCTACATGAGATTCATTGATCAGTGACTGCGCCAAATATGAAAATCATTGTACATTTGTGGGCATAGTGGTTGACCCCAAGGTTGACACCCCTCGAGAACTAGTTAGTTTTTTAGTAAATAGATCAACTGTAGACCACTGTATAGAAACTGTAAATGAAGAAATGGAAAACAGAAGGCTTGAAAGAGGACATAGGATGGAAATAGTCAAGAATGAATTTCTAGAATTAAATCTAGCATCAACCTAAAAACATGATCCCATTTTCCCCAAAGGAAAAAAATCCATTCCAAAGCCGCAATTTCCTGGCAACATCATCATCGAAATCGATACAACACGACGCACAAACAACTATGACCTGGTGCAGCACCTGGATAGAGCCTCATACTACGTAGTAAAATACAGTGTAAATTTGGCAATACGGAAACGCCAGTAAATTAGAGCCAAGGACGTCGCGGCTGGCTCTGGATCCTGGATTACATTGTTGCCAATACCAACCAATACTTCACCCAAAATTTACCGAAAACTTCCAATAATGCTTTATACAAATTAATCATTTTATTTTTGATAAACAACCATTTATTAAGAATGTATTTTGAATTTTTAAGCAATGTATCTGGATTGATGAAAAGTTGTTGGAAGATGGTTCTGACAACATTGCAAGACGTCGCGACACGTTGCCAGATTTCGGGGGTCGATTCGGGGCGGGGGTGTTTCCAGGCCAGCGGGGGTGGTTGGCAAAGGGGTTTGTTTTGGTCTGGGGTGTAGGTTGGATTTTACGCGGGAGTTAAATGTAAAATGCACTCAAACGTATGATTTTTCTATGTATAAAAACCCGACTACTATTTTCTTAGAATTTTTTCTTCAAACTCTAATTAGTATTATTATTAAGGCAAACAATAATTATTGAGAAATAGTTGAGTAAAGTTGGATAATCATAGACGTGCTGACATTTTTTATTCTTCAATGGAACAGAAGGTCAAAGCAATAGAATTATTGTTGTTTACATAACGGTGGATGGCGGATGTAAACCTACCCATTGCTCGCACAAAACCGGATGTTTTGACAAATTATGGACGAAAAATTTTGATGTAAACGCAATCAAACTAGCTATCTTGATAGTGTTTGATTCATATAAACACCATTGGTGTATCATATTATGGAAGTTTCAACTACCTGCAATTTTAAATGAAAAGTTCCTTACCAAATTTCGGTTTCAAAATTTCCCCTTCAAGAATCTCTTCGCCGTGTTGCAAAGTGAGAAAATCCTTGAGCCACACTTTCATTTCCTCCTCATTGTCGAACACTATCGAAAAACAATCGTCTTTAGTGTACAGGGCGATCACAAATTTGTGCTTAGAGTCTTGTTTTTTGTTAATATTGAAACACGTCCGCAAAGGGATGCTGCGTTTTGGGGGAACTCCCGCGCGAAACTTCTTTTCCGAATCGTAATACTCCAAACGGGCCAAAGCCTCAGAAGTTTCGTTGCGTAGCACGAAGAACTTCTTGCGGGAAGTTTTCAATTTTTTAAACACCCCCGTACGTATAATGTTGTTGCTCGGAGTCGCCTCCAGCGAACCGACCGAAGACATTTTTTTTAAATGTTTTTCAAAAGTTCACTCGTAAACCGCGACATAAACATTTGAAATTCTTGCACGAATTTTTTCGCTGAGCGAGTTGCGTAGACGAAGTGTTCCGGTTCGAGTCTTGCTTTGGTTTGACTCCGTCGGCTCGGAGCGAAATGTGTGGAGCCCCGACGTCGGTCGTGTCGTGTTCCCGCCAAACTCGTGTGTCCTACGTAACTACTATTCAGTGTTTAGTGGACAGGACAGGACTGTGGCTTCAGACGCTTTTTTTTTTGGCGCCAAATACTCATCTGAAAGTTTTTTGTTGAAAACGTCTTTAAGATGTCTTGGAAAATGTCCTGAAGACGTTTGAAAGACGTTGGGCGTTGTAACATAAATATAGAAAAAAGTTATGACCTTTCAAAGTTTGACAAAATCTAAATCATAAGGTTTCACCTTCAACCTTACTACTAAAACGATGAAATTTCCAATTTTTTTTTGTTGAGATTTTGAGTCCTAATGGTCCTTTGGGATCCCCTGAACTTCATACACTAAATTAGTCTGAGATTTGGAGCCGGATTCTATAGAAAGAGGCAATCAGAAAAATTGAAAAATTGATAAATCACCCCAAATTGCTTAACACGATTTTATCTCAGGAACTATAAGTGCAAATGAGCTGAAATTTTCGGGGATTGTAGTCCCTTGACTGGGATAAAATTCAGGGAAAGTTTCAGCTTTCTATCTATGTACAGGGTGTTTAAAAAAGACGCGGCAATATTTGAGGGGGTGATTCCTCAGGCCATTTTATGGAAAAAAGTTCCCATAAACATAGGTCCGGAAATGCATTTTTTCCAAGATACAGGGTGTTAAAGATTTTTTTAAAATAACGTTTTTTTTAAAATAATTCAAATATCTTCTCACCGATTTTTTTGAAAATTGGCAGCGTTGTTTTTAGTAATTAGGAGCTAGTTTTGCCCTAACTAGATAATTTTTTTTAACTCCAGTGGCGTTAGGGGGGGCAATTTAATAAAATTTATTGACGAAAAAATGTACGCCACTGACTTTAATTTAATTTCGATTTTTCTTTCAGATAAATCAACTAAAACTGCAACTTTTTTGTCTCACAAATTTTTCTCGTATCTTGCTTCGTTTACAAAATAAAAAATGAAAACTATTTTCTTGCTTGTCCATTATGATACAAAAACATTACAAAAACTGTTCAAAGTGACCACTCCCGGTGTGGATGCAGGAATCCAATCTTCTCCTCATTGGCTGGCGAACTCTCTCAAAAATACCAGGGTCATTTCTAATTGAGTTACACCCACCAATGATTCGAGCTCTTAGGTCTAATCTTTACCACCCTGTATCTTGCAGAAAATGCATTTCCGGACCTATGTTTATGGGAACTTTTTTCCATAAAATGACCTGAGGAATCACCCCCTCAAATATTGCCGTGTCTTTTTTAAACACCCTGTATAATAGAAAAAAAGTTATGACGAGTATTGCGAAAAGTATGGTACTGCAAGTACTGTCAGTGTAAGCTCTACTACTGTAAGCTTCTGTCAGTATAAGGTCTAGTAATATGAGGTATTTGTGTATAACTCTGCATGTAATATCATGGCATTGTTCACGTATTGTCAGTATTGTTAAGGTATTGTCTTGGACTGTGAAAGATTTTTAGTCGAATTTTTAGTATCTACTATTATTGTCAGGTATTGTGATGTGTACTGTGAAGTATTGCGACATGTACTGCATAGTACTGCTATGGAATGTGAGCATACTGTTAGGTATTGGCATGTAATGTAATGTATGTGCACTGTAAGGTATTCTGGGGTACTTTCACGGTACTGTAATGTACTCTAATGTATTGTGAGCCATTTTGTACAGGTATTGTGAAAAGTGGAACACCCCTCGGTTATGACTTTTCAAAGTTTTCCAAAATCTAAATCATAAGGTAGGTAACTTCTTACTAAAACCACAGCATATACAAAAACAATCAGCAGGCTAACTTGAGTGACATCCCGTGTAATAAAGGTATTCATCGTCGAAATGTCACTAGCGGCCATTTTGGGATACGAAACAGGGCCTGATTAACGATAATTTAGGTTTTTTCTTTCTTTTCACAGAGTCGTATTGGCTTCAAATAAACTAATTTATTATTATTATTATTATTAAATATACAACAATGATAACAGATAACAGTATAAATGACAACACGAATATACTAAAATCAGTTCGAAAATCATATAACTAAAATTCCGCTCTACACCGCACGCCTAGGACCTCCGTCTGAAATAAATAATTGAAATAAAATTTCGGCGCCCCTGCCGTTTAATGACAGGATGGTATCCCCTAATGGCGGCGTGCGCAGAAAAGATGCGCGTGACAGTTAGCCTGCTGATTGTTTCTGTATATGCTGTGCTAAAACGATGAAATTTCAAATTTTTTTTTGTCGAGATTTTGTATCCTAATGGTCAATTAACATACCCCAAACTCCATACACTAAATTAGTCTCAAATTTGAAGCTGAAATCTATGAAAAAAGGCACTCAGAAAAATTGAAAAATTGATAAATAACTCCAAATTGCTTAATACGATTTTATCTCAGGAACTATAAGTGCAAATGAGCTGAAATTTGCAGGGATTTTAGTCCCTTTATTGAGATAAGATTCAGTGAAAATTTCAGCTTTCTATCTATAATAGAAAAACAGTTATGACCTTTTAAAGTTTTCCAAATTCTAAATCATAAGGTACCTTCTTACAAAAACGATGAAATTTCAAAAAAAAAAATTGTCGAGATTTTGTATCCTAATGGTCAATCAACATACACCAAATTATTCTCAGATTTGAAGCCGAAATCTATGAAAAAAGGCACTCAGAAAAATTGAAAAATTAATAAATCACCCCAAATTAGGGATGCGATTTTTAGTAATTTTTAATGAACTAGTTCAGTAGTACTGAATCCTCGAAATGTACTAGTACAATGTACTAATTCTTTAGTACATCTACGAAAAAGGGAAACAAGGGAGAAAAATGCAAAAAATACATATAGAAACTTTATTTAGTATTCAACAAAAATAAAATGAATGATTTATTTGCTAAAAGTTACATAGGTATACTATTTAGCATTTAGGAACTAAAAAATACAGCCTTGATTTCCTGATATTACATTACACTTTTGTGTTTTTGGTTATCCGGGTTATAAAAACTGTGTTCCGTTTGTGCCTTTGGTTAAACCTGTCGGTTAACTAGGTTTTTTCACATTCCGTGCTCATAGATTTTTGTTTTACATCTGTTTTAAACTTGTTTATTATAATTTTTTCTATGTATTACCATGAAAAGAATGTACTATAATATTATGGGATTCTAATGTTATGGTACTAGTACGTATAGTACATTTAAAGGATCACACTAGTACAATTGTACTAGTTCGTTCATGTACTACACATCCCTACCCCAAATTGCTTAACATTATTTTATCTCAGGAACTATAAGTGCAAATGAGCTGAAATTTTAAGGGATTGTAGTCCCTTTATTGAGATAAGATTCACTGAAAATTTCAGCTTTCTAGCCGAAGATCTTGACTGGCGAATCTAGACAAGAATACAACGAATCCGTTTGCTAGAAAAGACTCTATAAACAGATCACCTATAAGAAAAACAACAAAAGAAAAGCAAACAGGGGAAGGAATACCACAATATGAGGAAGACGCGAACGACGAAAGGAAGAGAAAGAGAAGAACAAGCAGAACAAGGGAAACCAAATTAGAGGAAGATATGCAATGAAATCATATTCCTGGATAAAACTATAGAACACTTGGTGAAAATTGGAAAAAAAAACTAGAAAAGAATATAGAACACAACAAAAAAAACAAATTAAGGAGAATATCATTAAGCTTAAAAGACAAATAACTATACTGCAGGGCACCAAAATGAATGAATGGATTAGAGCAAATAGATACATGACCGAAAATGGAGAGAAAGGAAATGATGCAAAAACACAAGCATTGAAAGAAAAAAGAGAAAAGGGAACACAAATAAACTTCGACGCACAAGGGAAAAAAGACGAAGTCACTGAGGAAATCCAAATGTTTGAAAACTTCTAGGAATGGAAGACAAAATGTAAACACAGGAAACATTTACGAATACAGAAATTGGAAAAGAGAGTCCCATATACTTAACAAAAATATAAACACAAAGATGGATATATGCTTGAAAAAATGGATACAAAAGGTCTTCAAAGACAAATACCCACAACTGCAGGACATCAAAGCAGACTTAGGAGTGCTAGAACAGAAATGGCAAATACGCACAAGTACAGCAGGACAAACAACGAATACTTAGATAATTAAAATCATATACAAGGACTCGGAAGAAAACAAATTCCAACAAATGAGAAGAAAAAACTATCCAAATGCACCAGCATTGAGGGGATGAAGGATGGGAGAATAAGAAAAATGGCAAAAGCCTTATTTCACGGTACAAATACAAGAGTATGGAGGTCAAGCCACAAAAGCGGCAAGGAAAGTGAGAAATACCTACGCACTAGTAGTGGAGGATAACTCCAACTACCAAGAAAAACTCAAAAATGTAAAGGAAATGCTGACAGGACAAGAAGTAAAGACAAAGAATGTATACAGAGAATTCGCAGCACCAGGGATGGCAAACTGATCATAGGAAGCGATGAATAGAATTCATAACACTCCACAAAGTAAAGTAAATAAGATATGGAATCCTAGTAGGCCGTCTGTGTTATGTTTCTCCCCCTTCATTCTTATGAGATGGAGAGAAATATGTATGACACTTATAATTCGGTACCTAATTGTTAGCAGTTTAGTTTGGGGTCATGTTCATTATTTACTATTTTTTTTCTCAATTTTTCTAAATTTTCTCTCTAGTTAATTTTCAGTTTTTCCGTTTCAATTTTTGTCTATTCCCGGCTCTTGAATTTCCATTTTTATCCAAATTCAGTGTTGCCAGTGAGCAAACATTTTTTGTACCAAAATTAAAGAAAAAATGTACCAGAGCCACTCGGCAGGGCCCGTATTCTCTTAACCGGAGAACAGTGTTCTCTCAAGAGAACGATTGCTCTGTCTTTGCCAGTATTATGAAAGTAACAATGAGTGACTAAGACAGAATAATCATTCTTTTGAGAGAACGGTGCTCGCCGGTGACGAGAATACGGGCCCAGGAGCCTTATTC